CACAAACTGCTGGGTCCATTTCTGGCCTTGCGGTTTCATCGCCTCCTCACGGCTCCTACGTCAGTACTGGTCTTGTTCATGTTGTTAAATTCTACGTCGTGTGAGTCCTCCCACTTTGCTTTTTTTCTTTTTCAAGACTGTTTCAGCTGTTCTGAGTCATTGTATTTCTGTATGAATTTTAGGATCAGCTTGTCAACTTCTGCATGGAAAATGAAATTTTTTTATATTTCGATATGGATTCCATTGAACCTATAGACCAGTATTGGGAGTATTGCCATGCTAATGATATTAAGTCCTCAACCATGAGCATATGCTGTCTTTCCATTTATTTAGGTCTAATTTATTTCGATGATGTTTTATAGTTTTCCATAACTGTCATGGAAAAATGCATCAATAACCTCAGATATGCAGGTGACACCACCCTTGCGTCAGAAAGTGAAGAGGAACTGAAGAGCCCCTTGATGAAGGTGAAAGAGGAAAGTTAAAAAGCTGGCTTAAAACTCAACATTCAAAACACGAAGATCATGGCATCCGGTCCCATCACTTCATGGCAAATAGATTGGGAACAAATGGAAACAGTGGCAGACTTTATTTTCTTGGGCTCAAAAATCACTGCAGATAGTGACTGCAGCCATGAAATTAAAAGATGCTTGTTTCTTGAAAGAAAAGCTATGACAAACCTAGACAGCATATTAAAAAGCAGAGAAATCACTTTGCCAACAAATATCCATATAGTCAAAGCTATGGTTTTTCTAGTAGTCATGTACGCATGTGAGAGTTGGACTATAAAGAAAGCTGGGCACCACAGAATTGATGCTTTTGAACTGTGGTGTTGGAGAAGACTCTTGAGAGTCCCTTGGACTACAAGGAGATCAAACCAGTCCATCCTAAAGGAAATCAGTCCTGGATATTCATTGGAAGGACTGATGCTGAAGCTCTAATACTTTGGTCACCTGATGTTAAGAGACAACTATTGGAAAAGACCCTGATGCTGGGAGAGATTGAAGGCAGGAGGAGAAGGGGACGACAGAGGATGAGATGTTTGGATGGCATCACTGACTCGATGGACATGAGTCTGAGGAAACTCTGGAAGACAGTGAAGGTCAGGGAAGCCAGGCTTGCTGCCATCCATGGGGTCAAAAAAGTCAAACACGATTTAGTGACTGAACAGCAAAGGGTGAACTGAATGGTGTTGATATGTGATACATATAGTGTGTGTGTCCATGTGTACTCAGTCATTCAGTTGTGTCCGACTCTTTGTGACCCCATGGACTACAGCACTCCAGGCCTCCCTGTCCATCACCAACTCCTGGAGCTTGCTCAAACTCACGTCCACCGAGTCTTCGATGCCATCCAACCATCTCGTCCTCGGTCGTCCCCTTCTCCTACTGCCTTCAATCTTTCCCACCATCAGGGTCTTTTCTAAGGAGTCAGTTCTTCCCATCAAGTGGCCAAAGTCTTGGAGTTTCAGCTTCAGCATCAGTCCTTTCAGTGAATATTCAGGACTGATTTCCTTCAGGAATGACTGGTTGGATCTCCTTGCAGTCCAAGGGACTCTCCAACACCACAGTTCAAAAGTACCAATCCTTTGGTACTCAGCTTTCTTTATAGTCCAACTCTCATATCCATACATGACTACTGGAAAAACCATAGCTTTGACTAGACGGACCTTTGTCAGTAAAGTAATGTCTGCTTTTTAATATGCTGTCTCTAGGTTGGTCATAGCTTTTCTTTCAAGAAACAAGTGTCTTTTAATTTCATGGCAGCAGTCACCATCTGCAGTGATTCTGGAACCCAAGAAAGTAAAGTCTTTCACTGTTCCCATTGTTTCCCCATCTATCTGCCATGAAGTGATGCGACCGGATGCCATGATCTTCGTGTTTTGAATGTTGAGTTTTAAGCCAACTTTTTCACTCTCCTCTTTCACTTTCATCAAGAGGCTCTTTAGTTCTTCTTCTCTTTCTTCCATAAGGGTGGTGTCATCTGCATATCTGAGGTTATTGATATTTCTCCCAGCAACCTCGATTCCAGCTTGTGCTTCATCCAGCCCAGCATTTCACATGAGGTATTTTGCATATAAGTTAAATAAGCAGGGTGACAATATACAGCCTTGACATACTCCTTTCCCAATTTGGAACCAGTCTGTTGTTCTATGTCTGGTTCTAACTGTTGCTTCTTGAGCTGCTTACAGCTTTCACAGCAGACAGGTAAGGTGGTCTCTATTCCCATCTCTTGAAGAATTTTCCACACTTTTGATCCACACAGTCAAAGGCTTTAGCATAGTCAATGAAGCAGAAGTAGATTTTTTTCTGGCATTCTCTTGCCTTTTCTATGATTCAGCAGATGTTGGCAATTTGATCTCTGGTTCCTCTGCCTTTTCTAAATCCAGTTTGAACATCTTGAAGTTCTCAGTTCACATACTGCTGAAGCCTAGCTTGAAGGATTTTGAGCATTATCTTCCTAGCATATGAAATGAGTTCATAACTTTTGCTGTACATTTGAAACTAACACAACATTGTAAATCAACTATGCTTCATTTTTTAATTATTAAAAACACACTCTAAAAGTGTACAATCTAATGTAATTCTTAACCTGTTGCATTGATGCCAAATCCATCAACGCTATTTGCCGTTTAGACTTTTCAGTTCCTTTTCCTTCGCTTTCGCCTGTCCTAAGTCTTTTATCCCCTACTTTCTAATCTTGGCAAAATAAACACAAAATTTACCATTTTAACAGTATTTAAGTGTACAATTCAGTGACATTATGCACATTCACAATATTGTATGACTATCACCACTTTTTCCAGAACTTTTTCATCAGCCCAAATTGAAACTCTGTCCCCTCTAAAACCCCCTTCCCCGACCCCTGGCACCCACCCTTCCGTCTCTGTGAATCTGACTCCTCTAGGAACCTCATGTAAGTGGCATCATACAGTGTTTGTCCTTTTGTGATTGGCTTATTTCACTTAGCGTAATGTCCTAAAGGTTCATCCATATCGTAGCTGGTGTCAGAATTTTATTCCTTTTGAAAGCTGAATAGTATTTCCCTGTGTGGATGGACCACATTTTGTGTTTACCCATCATCTGTTGACGGGTGCTCGGGTTGTTACACCTTTCGGCTCCTGTGAGTAATGCTGCTGTGAATGTTCGTGTGTAAGCATTTGTTTGGGTTCCTGCTTTCAGATCTTCTGGGTGAGGCTGTGAGCTGAGCCCAGCAGTGTTGATCGACATGGACCCTGGACAGTGACGCTCACCCCGTTTCCTTACTCAGCTCCCAGGGAGGGCACAGACAGGCTCACACCCCCAGGCGGAAAGCCAGGGGCCTCGTCTCAGGGACGCGGCAGGCAGTCTGGCAGGGAGGGCTCTCAGTCATCACGAGGGTCTCTGCGGAGCAGGGCGCCAGCCTCTCCAGCACTTCCCATCACTCCTCCATGCTCTGGAGAAGCATTACACACTCAGAGACAGATGTTCCCGTTGCCCGAGTGTGCCAGTCAAACACACCCCCACTTGACTGGGGAGGGGACCCCGAGGAGCCAGTCTGGGCTTCTTCCCCCCTGGCCCTCTGCACTGAATTCCCAGGTGCATCCCGTCTCCGAGCTTCCTGGTGGTTGGATGCCAAGGGAGGTGCCCCTTGGTAAGACAGCGTGTGGCTGTGCACCCATCTCTGCCGTTGGAGGGGGGGCGCCCACATCCACGAGGGGCCAGGGCCGCTCTCCCCAGGGTCACCAGCCGGTTCACTCCCAGCAGCCACGCTGGGGGCCCGTCTCACCCACAAGGGCCTCTCTCTGACACCGGGATCCTGGGCATTTGAGGCCGGCCTCCAGCCTGAAAAACCCCAACTTCTCTACAGAAAAGCGAGAGCAGAGATAGTGCAGGCCCCCGAAGGCAACTTTTAAAAATTATCATGAATATTTCTAGATAGATAAAAGATTTCGCATCCGTGAAACAGAGGGCAGGAAATGAATTCTGTAGCAGCGTGCGTACCCGATCAAACTTTTTGGCCAACCCAATAAAAACCCAGTAGCAAAAATGTCAAGGGGAAAACTAGGAGGGGGGTGGAGGAGGAAATTTCCCAGAAAGTAAGAAAAACTGACAGAGGTGAAGATGAGAGAGACATTATTTTAAGGACTGAAAGGCCAGCGCACGTACCCCCTGAAGCTGGGCGTGGACACCCGGACAGTCCAGCCTCAGCTGCGGCCGCTACTTGGGGCCTCGGGGTGAGCCCTGGACAGCAGAATAACAGCGCCTGCGGCAGGGCCCTGGGCCGGGGTCGGGGCGTCGGGGGGGGGGGGGGCGCCGGAGGGCTTGTCTCAGTAGAGAGCACCGTGACCAGCGGCTGGAAGTGACAGAAGCCTCTCCTCTCACAGGTTGGAGACCCGAAATCTGAACCCTGGCGGGGCCACGCTCCCTCTGGAAGTTCTGGGCGGGGGTCCTTCCTGCGTCTTCTAGCTCCTGGTGGCTCTGGGAGCCCCCTGACCTATACCTTGTTCCTGCGATCTCTGTGTCGTGGTCACTGGTCCTCCCCCCTCCCCTCCTACTGAGACTCCTGGCCTCGGGCTAGGGCCACCAGATAAGCCGGGACGTCTCCTCTCCAGGTCCTTAGCTTGGGGCTTCCCTCGTGGGCCAGTGGTTAAGAATCCGCCTGGCAGTACAAGGGACACTGATTGGACCCCTGATCCGGGAAGGCCCCCCACGCCGAGGAACAAGTGAGCCCGTGACCCCCAACTCCTGAGTCTGTGCTCCGGAGCCCAGGAGCCACGACTGCTGAAGCCCAGAGCTCACGTTTCACAAAGGACGCCCGCACACGGCGACTAGAGAGAGTGTAGTCCCTCTCAGCACAGCTAGAGAAAAGCCTGCCCCGCACCCAAGATCCAGCACAGCCAAAAAAATAAATAAATAAAAATCCTTGCCTTGATTGCAAAGACCTTTTTCCAACTAAGGTCCTGCCGGGTTCCAGGTTCGGGCGTGGACACATCATTTGGGGCCCGCCAGCCCCTGCAGAGGGTGTGAGTGGGGCAAGGGTGCTTCCACGGGACGAACTCAGCCCCTGATGTTGGACCCGGGGTGCACCCGCGCGGAGTGGGGGGCCCTCCGGGCAGAAGTCTCGTCCCCCCTTGCTGCCCACAGCCAAGCCCCTGTGTCTCCTTCTCCATGCAGCGGCTCCATGGCTGGTCCCTGCTCCCCAGACACAAACGGCTCTGAGTCAGCGCCCGTGGCCGTCAGAGAGAAGATGCGCTCCCGGTTCCACGGCAGCCACGACCTGATCCACCGCCTGTTTGTCTGCATCTCAGGTGCCCCGTCGGCCCCGGGTGGGGCATGGGCTCCGGGACACACAGGGGGGTGGGCAGGCTTCAGGGCAGTGGCTGGCACGCTGCAGGAGTCTCCCCAGCAAGGTTGGGGTGCGGGCCCTGCCCGGGGGCTCCCTCACCACGTCACTTCCTTGCCCCAAGCCGCAAAATGAGCCCAGCCAAGAGGTGGGCGTTGTGCGTCCGCAGGCCCTCCTTGGTTGGAGGGGAGCCCAAGCTGGGCCCCAGGGCCCTCACCACCCACCCGCGAGGTCCTGTTCAATCTGATGTCCTGACTGATCTTGTTTCCTTCCATCCCCTGGGTGAGGGGTCAATGACTGCTTCGTCTCCTGGGATTCAGAGAGGGGCGTGAGCGCGGCGGCTTTTTCACCTTCTCCCTTAGTTTTGTGTGCTTGGAGTAGCTGGTGCAGGCACGTGGTTTAGAAGCGTGACTGTGTGGTGGGGTCCCGCTCCCTGCCTCCTGCCTGCCGTCCACCCCCACCTCCAGGCGAAGTTCAGGCAGTGCCCGTCCCGCAGCTGTGTCCGCTCCCTCCCCCGGCCCGTCCTCTGACCCCAGGCCGTGGGGTGGAGCCGTGGGGGGCGCAGCCTGTGGACTGGTAGACGCTGCAGAGTCAGGGTCGCGGTCTCGGGGTGTCGCTCTGCACTGCCCAGAGTCCCATGGGCAGAGCTGCCACCCAGGCCAGGCTCGGGGGTGACTCCGAGCTTCCGTTCAAACACCTGGCAGAACCCACCGCAAATCCACGGGTCTGTCTGGCAGTCTGGGAAACAGCAGGCCCAGCGGGTGCCCGGCAGGGCTGCTGACACACCAGGAACCCTCCGGAACTGGTGGCCACAGTGTTGGCGCGGTGACGGGCCCCAGGGTGCAGGGGGCGGGTGTGGTCACCCCCTGGCCTTGCCGTGAACACAGCCCCACCCGCCCTCGAAGAGCTTCTCACTGAGGAGGGCTGAGCCCACCCGACTGAGGGATGAGGAAACCTTGGCCGGTGAGGGTGGGGGGAGCCCCAAGGGCCCCCTCGTCTGGGCAGGTCCCCAGAAGGGCAGCCCCGCAGTGGAGGTGGCTGTGATGGGGAAGGAGCTGCCGCGGGGGTGGGCACACCTGGGGGCTCGGGATCGTCCCTTAGTGAGGAGCCAGGGCCCTGGGGTGGCCGTGGCTGAGACTCCGCGGATAAAAGCATGAAGGAGACTAACTGCCGCCTGGGGGTGGGAGGCACTGCTGGGTCGCGGGCCTGTCCCCCTCCTTCCCTTGCGTCCTGAACTTTGCTTCTGCCAGAGGGACCCTCGGGGCGGCGGGGGGGGGGGGGGTGGCTGGGTGGCCGCTTCCTGTCCCCGCTCATCCAAGGACCCGCTGGTCTCTGACCCTGAGCTACAGTGGGCTCACAGCCAGCAGCGCCTCCCCTCACCCCTCCCCCGGGCGTCCCCCGCAGGCGTGGCCGACCAGCTGCAGACCAACTATGCCAGCGATCTGAGGAGCATTCTCAAGACCCTCTTCCAGGTCATGGCCACCAAGCCAGAGACGGATGACAAAGAAAAGCTAAAGAAGGGTGAGTGGCGGCCTGGGACAGGCTCAGAGGCGTGCCACCCCCGCCCCGGGAAACCTGCTCTCCTGGGCCACCCAGCTTTTTACATGACCATGTCATCCGCGGTGGAAGCCCCCAGCCAAGCCAGGCTGTCTGCTGGGGGACTGAGGGCACACCTCGCAGGCCCCGGGCACCCTGAGGTCACTGCCAGGAGCAGCGGCACCAATCATGTAGCGCCCAGGCCAGGCCGCCTGTCTTCTGACCACGAGGACAGGCCAGGAGGCACGATGCCCATCCTCGCACAGATGGGACCCAGAGGTCCCCGGTCGCTTCTGCAGAATTCCCTGTCAGAGCAGCCAGAGGTCAGCCCAGAGTCCGGGAGGGGACACAGGTCCCGCTGCTCCAGGAGGAAGTGGCCCTCTGTGACCTGCCTCACACCCCCTCACCCCAGGGGCTTCTGCTCAAGAGTGACCGGGCACCCGGCCCAGGCCCTGGGAAGAAGTCTGTCCCCTGTGCCAACCCAGCTCTGCCTCCCGAGGTCCATTCCACTGGGCCGCGCTGCCCCCGTGTGCCCGGGGATTCCAGGTGGGGCTGCCTCTGGACCACCGCTGCTCAGGAAGGGCGGTGATGTGGGCGGCCTCTGCAAGCAAGGACTGTGGGCCCCAGGGCCGGGGCCAGGCCTGGTCCCCTGCCCGCCTCAGGGCCACGGTCCAGGGAGACCAGTGGACGGGTCCGGGGCTGGGGGCCACAGGCAGGGCCAGCTGCTCACATGGGGGCACTCAGATGCAGACTCCCAGGGTCGGGTCAGCATCCTGCCTTCAGGCAGTGGGTGAGGGCCCCGGTGACGCCCTCCGCGGGCGGGACCGTGGACGGTTTGGGGGCTGCCCTCCGCTGGCTGCACCCAGGCATACCTCCCGGGCACGCGTGGTGGCCCGTTGAGCCCAGTGGCCACACTTTCTTCCAGTCACCCAGACCCTGCGGAGCGCGGCCCTGGAGGACTGCGCCCTGTGCCAGGAGACCCTGTCGTCCTCTGAGCTGGCCGCCAAGACCCAAGATGGAGACTTGGAAGGTGCGTGAGGGGCCGGGGCCAGCGCGCTGAGCAGAGGGTGGGAACCCGTACGGACATTCCCCCTCTGTCCTGGCCTGCAGGCTGTGGGCAGCACCCCTCCTCCAGTGGGGCCCCTCACCAAGGTCTTCCGGACACGCGGCTCTCAGGGCAGGGCCTGGGGGATCCCAGGACCCTCACTGTCCTCCTCGGGTGGGAGTCTGGATTCGTCTGTTGGAGCTGGCCTCGTGGCCGGCCTGGAATGACCCCAGGAGCTGGCTGGCGATGTCCAGGCATCACTGGGACGGTCAGGGTTTTTCCACGGAGAGGGTGGACAGCGTGAGAGGAGGTCTCACTGCGGTGGGGTGGGGGGTGAGCCTGGAGGGCAGGGTGGGAGGGGCGGGGGGGTCTGCAGGCAGCAGGCGGGGGAGCGCATGTCCTCGGGCGCAGCTTGGGGAGGAGGGGCCGGAAAGGGGCCGAAGACCAGGGTGAGTGGCCTCTCCCGTCCGCGCTCGCAGCTGGTGCAAGGTGGGCACCTCATGTCTGGGGTGTCTCCCTGGACAAAGTGGCTTCTCCCAGCGCCTTCAGCCCCCGCCCCCCGAATTCCAGAGCAGATCCCCAGGGGCTCCCTCCAGTGAGCGCCTAGAGAAGGGAAAAAGCGGGTGAGACCAGTCGTGGGGACCGGCGCTGCACATGTGGGGGGCGGGGCCATTCCCGGGGCGGAGCCAGATCCGGGGGCGGGACCAGATTCGGGGCGGGGCCAGCCCCAGGGCGGGGCCATCCTCAGGGCGGAGCCAGTCACTTCTTCGGGAGACGCCCTCCCTCGCATCCCCTCCCCCACCTCCCTGGACCTGCCCTGGAGCCGGGTTGGGCGGGGCTGCGGGGGCGCCTGAGGCTCCAGTAGAGCCTTGTTTGAGAGGTTGACAAAGGGGGTTGATTTCTTTCATCTGTCAGCCCCCGTGTTTGGCCAAGAACCCTGCCAGACTGGATGCCGGCCGGGAGAGGCTTGGGAGAGGGTGGCCTGGGTGGACCTCGCCCTGAGCCCTGGGGCGACGTGCAGGCTGCTGCCGCTGGGGTCTGATCCACGCGCCTGGCCAGCAGTCCTGAAACCTAGCCAGTAAGGAGCCTCGCGAGGACCGGAGGCTCCTGCACACCACCAGCTTCCGACCCCCGCCCCAGCCCATCGGCCCTCACTGCCGCCCCCCGCACCGCTGCCGCGGGCTGACCTGTCCCCACTGTCTTTGCCACAGACCCGCCCGAGTGGGTCCCGGACGAGGCCTGTGGCTTCTGCACCGCCTGCAAAGCGCCTTTCACAGTCATCCGCAGGAAGCACCACTGCCGCAGCTGCGGGAAGGTAGGTGGGTGGGCGGCTGGGGCCGTCCCGCAGCCCCCGGGGCTGCCGCCTCAGACATCCCAGGGACCGTCTGCAGACCCCGCGCCCAGGTCCAGGGGTCAGGACCAATGCTCCGGGGCTGGCGAGGACTTAGGAGTCCTGTGCACAGAGACACCCGTGAGCCCTGGGCGCTGCTCTGACCTGGCACAGGGTGTGGCCTCGGGTTTTCCAGGTGGCGCTGGAGGTAAAGAACCCGCCTCCCAATGCAGGAGACATGGAGACCTGGGTTCGATCCCTGGGTCGGGAAGATCCCCTGGAGGAGGGCATGGCAACCCACTCCAGTATTCTTGCCTGGAGAATCGCATGGACAGAGGAGCCTAGCGGGCTACAGTCCATGGCGTCAGCAAAGAGTCGGACACGACTGAGCGACTTAGTACGCACGAACGTGGCCTCCGGCAGGCAGCCACTAAGTGCAATGGAGCAGTGCCCTGTCCTGGCCCCTTCAGACCTGGGGACCTGGTGAGGGTGGGGTGGGGTGGAGGGTCCGAATCAGGTGGAGCCTGCCGCAGCCTGGGGGTGAGGCTGGCCCCCTCCCTCAGCCTGGCCTCTTGGTCAAGACCTGCCCCGGGTTTTCCTGAAGGTCTAGCCCCGCGTTGGGGAGGGTAGAGCCCCGCCGGCGACCGCCCGCCTGGCCCTGGCGGGAGGGACGTGCAGCTTGGCCGGCCAGGGGCGCTCAGGGCTCTGCTCCCGCCCCTGCTGGCCGTCCCTCCGAGGCCACGGTAGGGGAGAGGGGAGGCGCAGGGCTGCGAGGGCCCCGGGCGGCTCACTCGGCCGCGCGCTCCTGTCTTCCAGATCTTCTGCTCGCGCTGCTCCTCGCACTCGGCGCCGCTGCCGCGCTACGGGCAGGTGAAGCCGGTCCGCGTGTGCACGCACTGCTACATGTTCCACGTCACGCCCTTCTACAGCGACAAGGCGGGCATCTGACACGGCGCGCAGCCCGCGGGCCCCGCAGGACTCCGGGGAGGGGGCTCCGACGGCCGCGCCCCGCCTCTGCCACCCGGGCGGGCCATCTGCTGGCCGGAGGGGCTTCGCCACATCTCATCCACCTGCCGGCCCCGCCGCTGCGGGGGCTGCGGGCGCCCGGACTCCAGAACTCCAGTGCCTCCGCCACCCGCCCGCAGGGCCCTCGGGCTCCGTGCAGGGGCCCACGGAGGTCAGCTGCAGCCAGCACGGGGACCTGGGGTGCCAGACCTGGGCCGGGGTGGGTCCCCCTGCCCTGCTGAGATGCCGTATGAGGCTCAGCTATAGCGGAAGTTCTGCTTTTCCTGGGCGGGTGATGCTCACCTACCGGGGAAGGGGGCCTCAGAGTAGCCGCAGGGCTTCCCCCATGAGCTGGCCGAACAGGGAAAGACCAGGCTGGCCTTTCTCTCTCCAGGGCCCTGCGCCCACAGCCCCCCCACCCCTTGCTCCCCTCAGGACCTTGTCTAAACCACATGTCTCATTTCTTGCTGTAGAGGGGACGTGCAGAGCAGACCCTGTTGTCCTCTGAGCACGCAGGCTGGCCCCTGCTGTGGTCTGCCCACCCTGGTCCTCCAGCTGATGGGGGCTGAGGGCGCCCAAGCAGCAGGCGGAGGTATCCCAGCTTCAGAGGCCAGGGCGCTCCCCGGGGCTGAGGATCCCCGTGATGACCTCTTGGCTGCCATTACTCCCATCCCTCTGACCCCCTGGGACCCTGGCCCCAGAGCGGCCCCAGGCCCCAGCACGGACACCTCCTCAGGCTTAAATCTCAGGCTTCACATTGCAATGATGATTGCAGTTTTATTTTTAGAGAGATGACACACCTACTGCTTCTTTTATAGCATAAAATCCAATTACTGTTTGACAGTGGAATATACACGCACAGAAAAAACAGCTTGTGTGGGAGAAGAAAAGTATATAATGGAGGGTATATTATGTATTGAGATTATTTTTATTTTCTAAATGCTGTAATTCAAAACCATTTCCATAAATCTATTTAAGGATTGCAGACACTCTTATTTCTCGTGTGAGCACGGAGGGACTCCTTTTTCTCTGTCTGGGAGGTGATGGGGTTCTTGCTCAAGTGCACTCTCCTCCAAGAAACGGGGAGGGCTTCTGGACTCCTGGGACAGTGGGAAGGCAGGACGTGGCTTCCCACCAGCCCTCAGGAGAAGGGTGACCACCCGCTCCCCACCCCATCCCACTCCCTGCGACGGGCTCCAGCCTCCTCGCTGGGCGCCCACCCTGCCCAGCACCCCAGGCAGGCCAGCAGACAGGTGGACACCCACATGGGGTGGGGGCACCGGAGAGGAGAAAGACCGTTCATGTCCTGGAGGCTGGCGGTGGCGTATGGGAGGGGCAGGGCTGGGGGACACCCCGCTTCCCCCACGGGTCTGGGCTCTTCCAAGGCCCCTGCTGCAGCCTCTAGCGGCCACCAGGGGGCACCAGGCCCACTGCCTCCTCTCCCACCCGGCCGGGGCATGGGGGCTTAGAGCTCTGCCTGCAAGGGCTGTCCCACTGTGGTGGGCACTCCAGGTCAGAACAGGGCCCCCAGCACCCAGGCACCCAGCGGCCAGGCACCCGTCCTCCAGGTCTTGCAGGCGGGTGGAGAAGCCGGAGAGGGTCCTGACGCAGAATGGATCACAGGCAGGGCGGGCCACACCCCTAACGGCAGCGCGGAGTGGGCAAGAGGGTCAAGCTGGGCACTTCAGATCACCAGGGCTGGGGGTGGGGGCTGACACCATGGAGGGAAAACTTCCTGGTCATTCCCAGCTCTTCCTGTCCTCTGGACTCGGTAGAAGAAGTTGGGGGGAGGTGTAGTTCAATCGCTCAGTCGTGTCCGACTCTGTGAGCCCATGAACTGCACCACGCCAGGCCTCCCTGTCCATCACCAACTCCCGGAGCTTGCTCAAACTCACGTCCATCCAGTCAGTGATGCCATCCAACCATCTCATCCTCTGTCGTCCCCTTCTCCTCCCGCCTTCAGTCTTTCCAGGCATCAGGGTCTTTTCCAATGAGTCAGCTCTCCACATCAGGTGGCCGAAGCAGTGGAGCTTCAGCTTCAGCATCAGTCCTTCCAGGGGGGTCATTGAGCAGGACCCAAAGTTCCGCCCTCAGCCACCTCCATAACCCAGAGTCCTGGAGGCTCTTGTCTATTCTCAGGTTCACCCAGAGCCACCTCCTCCAGGCAGCCTTCCCAGGCAGGGCACCCTCCCACCCTCCTTGGCCCCCATCCTCACACACGTTTTCAGAGCAGAGTCTCGGACTTGTTGCAGGAGTCAGAGAACCTCTCGGAACCTCTCCTGCCTGTGAGACTGGGGAGGGGCAGATTCCAGGCTGGCACAAGCTCAAACCTCAGCCCAAAGGCTTAAAAACATGTGACCTGGGTTCCGCTGATGTGTTCGTTTCCAGGCATTCAGGACAGGTCAGGGCCTGGGTCCTACACCTGAACTGGGCGAAGATGAGCACCCCCACATTCCAGACCTGGCCTGCCCTGGGGGGTCTGCAGGTCTGGGGGCCGAGCAAGCTGGCTGCGCTGCCTGGGCCTTGCGGGCTGGGCAGGATGCCGCTGGAGAGTGGGATGCCAGAGCTACAGAGACACAGAGCAGCCCAGTTCCAAGTGGCGAGGGTCCCGGTGAGGGTGGAGTACAGATGGCGAACAGGGGGGTCACCCCAGGCACCAAACACTGGGCTTCGAGCAGGGGAGGACACAGTCAGATCTGTGGTCTGGGCACCCCGGGGGGAGGGTGAGTTGGGGGGTCAGACCCCAGGGCCCCCACTGCTCCGTCGCAGGCAGTAACGCAGCGCAGCCGTGGTCGCTGCTCTGACCTGGCTGTCTCCCCACCTCGTCACTCAGGACTGCCTACGGGCTGTGAGCCGAGCACCCTCTGCTCGGGGCGGCTCAGGGCACGCTTGCCCGAGCCTGCCCTGCTGCCTCTGGGTCTAGAAGCCGCTGGATGCCTGGGGGCCTGGGACAAGGGCTCGGGCCCCCGGGGCATCCTGTTGGAGACGGCGAGGCCTTATGATGGTGTGTAGCAGCCAGGGCCAAGTGAAGGCCACCTGCGCCTGTCCCGGAAAGCCCTGAAGGCTTCCTGGAAGAGGCGGGACCCAGGCCAGGAAGGCCTCGGCCAGAGAACGCAGACAGTAGGACTGGGAGAGGGATGCTGGGGTGAGCCCCGAAGGCCCCACTGTCTGAGGGAGGAGACTTGCTCTCTGCTCCAGGCTCGTGCTCCTCAGGGCTCTGGGAAGAGAGGGCCCTGGAGACAGCTGGCAGGGGCCGAGGGGTGGCAGCAGTGTTGAGCTGGGCCCTGGTCCTGCCCCCTAGCCTGGGCCCAGGCCCTGGGAGACAAGCAGGCTGGTGGCCCTGAGGCGCCTGTGGCCACACCCGACCCCGCAGCGGGCACTTCAGTCTGCACCACCTTCCCCCTTCGTAGGTTTTTCCCCCGAGAAGAAGTTTAAAAAAAATCTTATTGTTTTGCTCTTGGACATTTTTGGCTACTTAAGACAATGGTCTATACATTGTCCAAGGGTTATTGAGTATAGTCGGAAAACCCTGTAAAGAGAGAAAAAAATATACCCCACACATTGTTCACAAGTATAATGAACTTTTCTTTTATTTTACATTTAAAGATGACATGGACATTATGTTGACTAGGCAGACATTTGTTACATCCTCACACATCTTGATTTTGCTGTCTTCTGGTATTCTGGGGACGCTTTCCCGAGTGTTAAAACTCTTTCGAAGGCCCTGCGTGCGGCTTGTGTGTCCTTTGACGGAACTCTGATGCTGACTGTGACTGCCCAGGCCCTGCCCCGTCTCCCCACGCGGAGGGCACAGACTGAGAGGCACTTGTGGGCTTCCCTGGTGGCTCAGTGGTAAGGAATTGCCCGCCAGTGCGGGAGACACGGGTTCGATCCCTGGCCCAGGAAGATCCCATGTGCCAGAGAGCAGCTAAGCCCGTGCGCCGCAACTGCTGAGCCTGTGCCCCACGACAAGCAAGACCACCACCACGAGAAGCCCGCCCACAGCACCTGGAGAGCGGCCCCCACTCGCCACACTGGAGGAAAGCCCGCGCGGCAACGAGGACCGCGCACAGCCAAAGAGAAACACAGAGATTTTTAGAGAAAGAAGCGCTTGCTGATTTGGGTCTGATGTTAGTATCTCTGCTGTTCCTGCCCCTGCCCCGCGCCTGGCCTACTGCCCTCCAGGGCTTCCCATGCAGCCTTCACGGCACCCCACAACACCCTGAGGCCGCTACTGCCAACTCTGGTTTATCACTGGGGAGACCGAGGCTCAGAGGCGTTTAGGGACTTGGCCAAGGTCTTGTGGTCAGACAAGAATCTGGGGTGGCTTTGGGGGAGGTGCCAGGACAGAAGCCCCTGGGGCTCGCCCCTGGTCCTGGCACACAGCGGGCGGCTTGCAGGCTGACCGCCGTGCGGGGCTGGGCATGGCCCTCCAGCCCCCGATAGATGAGCCCAGAGCTCATCTCTGTCCCTGTGCCTCGGTCCCTGTCGGAACTTGCCACCGTCCGGGGTCCGCACTGGGCTGGGGGAGGGCTCCAGCCCTGACTGCTCACTCCCAGCCTCCTCCCCAGAGCTCTGGGCCTGGGGACACTGGTAGCAGCAGGACTCCAACCTGGTGACCGAGGGGGCAAGAGAGGAGGCAGGACAGGGCCTGGTCACCCTGGCGGGGTGAGAGGGGGTTCTGGAGGCGGAAGGGCCGCACACACCGTCTCCCCCTGGGGTGGGGCGCTTCCTGACACTCTGCTGAGAGCCACAGGTGTGTCCCCAGTGTGTGTGCTGGCTGAGGGCCGGGTGAGACGCACCCTTAAATACTGGGTCCAGGGCAAGGGAGCCCAGGCCAGTCAGCAATGGGAGAGGTTAGTAAACGGTCTTCCCGAGGGGTCCTTCCCCTGCAGGATCCTGGGGGTGGCAAGTTCGCCAGCCTTTCACAAGCTTCCCCCCAGGACTCCTCCTACTGTCTTCCCGTGTCCAGAGAGGGGCGTGCAGTTCTCATTTAAGAGCCAGGGAAGTTGAGGCTGGGGTGGGGTGGCGGATGAAACCCACCCAACAGACCCCTAAGGCCTCCTGGTTTCAGGCCTCGTGACTTCTCCCTGAGTCCCCTGGGCTGGGAGCCCTGGGGTGAACTGGGCTTCTTCTAAGAGCAGCAGGGGAAAGAGTTCGGAGGAAGGGGCAGAGAGGGGAATGTGGGCTGGGGGGCCAGCTGGGGCCCTGGAAGAGGGGAGGGGAGTTGGGTGGGTGGGAATGGTCCAGGGCCTGTCTTGGGACACCAAGTGAAGGAAAGGGGTGGAGGCCTGGACTCCCAGAGGGAGGAGCCTCCGAAGCCCGCCTCCTGTCTTCCAGCGGCCTGGGTGGGTTCGCACTCTGACAGGACAGGTCTCTGCACAGAAGGGGCAGGGAGAGCTGGGCAGGCATGGGAGACTGGATAGGCCAGGAGGCTGCTGGCCCAGACTGGGCTCAGAGAAGGCTGCCGGAGGTGACTGGGCCCTGCCGGAGACCTGCTCTAGGGAACAGTCCCAGGGGGGCACCCTGCCATCCTTGGACCTGGACCAGCCAGCACCGACCCAGGGTGGCCCCCAGTGCCTACACTGCCCCATCCACGGGGGGTTGGGAGGGGCGCATTGAGGCTCTGCCTGTAGACACCTGACAGGTCCCGGGCAAGGCCACCCCATCCATCCTCCCCGTCGCCCCAGCACCCTCAGTTGGTGGCCTTGGACTCTCCCCGGGGAGCTCTGGACTCGCTCACGGCTGCAGGTTGGGCCGGGCGGGACCACCACCCCCGCTGGCTCTCTCCATCCCCCCATCCACCGCTGGACCCACGTGGCGCCGCGGGGCTGCCGCCCCCCCCCAAAAGGGACCCCGATGGCTCTGCCCACGCTGGCCCGGCCCACGTCCCCGCCCGCCCCTCACTGCGCAGGGGCACCCAGGCAGTGTGGACCCCGCGGGCAGTGTGGACCCTGCGGGCACAGCGAAGTGGGCCGTCTTGGGTGTGGCTGGGGGAGGGGGTCCCCCCAAAGGCCTAGACGTAGTCAGTGGCGCAGGGTGGGAACCACCCCCACTCCTGCAGTCACGTCTCCGCACCCGTGCCCCTCAGCAGGAGGGAGGGTGGGTGTCCAGCAGGCGCCCTCACAGCGGCACAGGCGCAGCTCTACGACTGCAGTCAGCAGCGCACCCTCATGTCACCAGGGGTGGCCTGACCTTGCCAACACCAAGTGGTAAGCCAGGGGTCCTGCCTGCAACACCCAGAGCCCACGATGCAGCCCGGCCCTCCTTTACCCTGCGCAGCCCTGGCTGCCCCCCAAAACTATGCAGAGGGCCCAGCACTCAGCGCTTGCTAGGGATCCGCCCTGACCCTGGGGTGACGGTGGAGCGGGGGGGGGGGCAGAAAGGGCCCAAGTTAACAGCCAGGTAGTGTCTTGTGTTTTTGTTTTCGCATTTCTGCCTGCATTTTGGAGGATCTCCTTTCCCAGCTCAGGGACTGCACCCAGGCCCTAGGCAATGAAAGCCAAGAGTCCTAACCTCTGGAATGTCAGGGAATTCCCTGGAAGTGTTGTTTTAATGTCCACAGAGGACTGTGTGTAATGCCAGTTTCCAAGTCTCTCACTGGGTTCTGCCACCCTTGGGGCGGGGGGGTGGGCACACATTCCTAACCCCCTTTCTCAGATCAAGTTGTGCTGGGCCTGAAGGTGGTTTGGTCTCCATGCTCCTGTGTCACCAGCCCTGGGTCACATGTCTGGCAGTGCTAATTTCCATTCTGTTGGGAATGCTGGGAGACCCTGGCCAAGTCCCTAAACCTCAGGATTCCCAGTCTTTTTGCCTGTAAATCGAGGATGTGGAAACCCAAGGAAATGCATATATACAGCCAAGAAGTCCTGAGACTGCACGTGCTTGATTTTTAGTGTCTGTTCTGTTTTGTTGGCAGCAGCCCTGGGGAGTCCAGTCATTTATACCCCAGAATCTCAATAACCTCTGAGAGGGAAAAATCAAGTGGGACTGAGGCCCATCTGGGGCTGCCCCCCACCCCCAGGCAGCCTGTCCTGCTTCTGTGGGCCAGCTTAGGGTCAGGGGTCACTAGGGCCACCCGCCAGCCAGCTGGGAGCTCATGAGAGCTCCCCTCCCTGGCAAAGCAATTTTCTTCCCTAGAAAGCGCTTCCGTGGCCAGAGGGGACAAGTGCTAGCCTCTTGGAATGTCCCCACCCTTTGGGCCAGAGTGATCACGCAGTCCTCTACTCATGGGAGCCAGTTTAGACTGTGGCGGCAGAGCGTTGCCTCCCTTCTTTTCTCAGATTCTTCCTTCGGCCCTAGGGTCCACTGGGCGGCTCTGAGGGACCCCTCCAGCTGTGGGCCTCAGTTTCCCCACTGAGATCCTCAGGAAGGCCTGACCGTTAGGCTCAGACCGTCTACGCCCCTCCTCCAAGCCCGAGGCTTTCCCGGGGTCTCGCTGTGTCCGGCGGGGAGGGTTGCCGTTTTTTGCAGCCTCATGGGAGACCCCCGAGGAAACCGCGGGGACCCGAACTTCCGCGAAGCCAATGCGGCAGCAGGCTCGGGGCGACAGGTTCCTGCGCAGAGAACACGGACCAGGGGACCGGCGGGGTGTCCGAATCGCTCCCCGAGCCCCAGCGGGCCCTCGCGCGGGGACCGGGCGGAGGATGGCCCCGCCGCGCTCGGCTTCCTCTCGGCAACGCTTTCGGCCGCGGCGCCCTCATTGGCCGCGCGCCCCGCGGCCAACCATTGGCTCCGCCGGCCCTACTTTACATGGCCTGCTCTGGGCCAATAGGCGCGAGGCGCCTACTTAACATGCACGCCGGCCGCCAATCAGCGGGCGCGGGGGCCGGGCCCCCACGTGCTGTTGCTAAGCTTGGGCTTCTAAATTGTTACTACCGCGGCGGGCCTATCGGAGCGGAGGCTCGCAGCTGTCAACATTCTCGGCCCCGCCCGAGGCGTGCGGCCGGCTCCCATTGGCCCCGGCAGGGCCCAGGGCCCACCCCCGCCGCACGAGCGCCGGCTCTCATTTGCTGCGCCGGCCGCCGCTCGCCCTTATGTGTCAATTTGAGGGCCTCGAGGCGGAGGGGTGGCGGCCGAGCGCTCGGGGAGTCCGCGGGCGTCTGGGGAAGTGGGGCCGCCGGGCGCGCGGGGCGGGCGGCGAGCGGAGCCGGCCGGGCAGCGGCCGCCGCCGTCCCGGAGCGCGCACGCGGGGGGCGGGCAGGCGGGAGGATGGAGCTGAACTCCCTGCTGATCCTGCTGGAGGCGGCCGAGTACCTGGAGCGCAGGGACCGAGGTAGAGCCCCGCGCCCCTTTGTGCGGCCGGACCGCGGGCGGGCGGGCGAGCGGGCGGGGCCGGGGCCGGGGCCGGGGGCCCGCTGACCGCGCCGTCTGTCCGCAGAAGCCGAGCACGGCTACGCGTCGGTGCTGCCCTTCGACGGCGACTTCGCCAGGAAGAAAACAAAGGCGGCCGGCCTGGTGCGCAAGGCCCCGAACAACAGGTACCGCCCCCCGCGCGCGCGCGCGGCGTCCCCCGCCCCGGCCCGGGCCGCGGGGCTTTACGCCCCCCGCCCGCCCCAGAGCGTGCTCCCCACCCTGGGCCTGACCCTGGCCCGCGCGGCCCGGCGGCCCGCCTGGAGGAGGAGGCGCCCGGGCCGCCGCAGCCCCGCCCGGCCGGCCGCGCCCGCCCCGTCGCCATCTTCCCCGCGGGCCGCGCCTCCTCGGCCTCTCGCGTAAACAGTGCCACGCGTACAGCGCCCGTCGCCCGGGGTCTCTTCCCGGGGCGGCTCTCCGCCCCAGGCTTGTTCTGGACTTTTCCGCGCGGGAAATAAGTTGTCAGGGGCGCTGGCCGGTGCCCCCTGGGTCTGGGGAAACTGAGGTTCGGCGCGGAAGCAGCGTGGGCCCGCTGGCCCTGACCTCTGCCCGCCGCGGGCCGGTGGGTTGCATCTCCGCTAAGAGCCGAGCCCTGCTGCTGGGCCGAGTGCCCCCAGGCCCCCGGGATCTGCAGGCTGGAGGCCCTGCCCCGGGTCCCCGGGCCCTCACACGGTGCCCGCCGCTCCCACCCAGCTTCCTGACCCAAGTGAAACTCCAGCAATCACTGCCGGGGTCCCTGTCTTTTGGGTCAGAGGCCCTTTTCCTAAGGGGCCGGGAGGGGCTGCAGGCTGGCCTGGGTCCCGGGCTGAGGAAGCCGGAAAGCCCGGGTGCACGTGTCTGGGTGGGAGAGGGAACCCTCAGCTAGGGCCCCCGCGGGGATTCCACTCTCTGGCTGCCTTGGGGACCACAGCACACCTGGTGGTGCCCAGCGGCCCATGTTGGTTCTGGCCCATGTTGCCAGGCTGGGAGCTGCACTTCCAGGGGGCTTGGGGGCCTCTTGGCAAAGGGTGCGGCTCATTCCTGTGGCCTGCTCATTCTTAGGAAATAGAAAGGCTGGCACAGGGACCCATCTCCTGTGACGTTTTGGCGCCCTGGGCCTGGCAAGAAAGCAGTGGAGTCTCCATCTGCTCTGGCTGGACATGCCTCTGAGTCCCAGCCCCGGGTCCCCTGCTGGAGACCGTTTGGGGCAGGGGGTGTGCTGGTGGGGGGACAGCAGGGCCTCAGGCCTCCTTGGTGAGCCAGCTAGGCCCCTGCTGTTGGTTCCCACTGTCCCAAGCGCTCTGCCACCCATGGAAAACTTTGGACGGTGACTTTTCAGTCCTAAAGCTCAGGTACCCAAAGCTGGTAACCAAGAGCACTGCTAGGGTTCTCTCGCACATGCTAGTTAATGGCCACCCAGCCCCATGAAGGAGATGTTATTTTTATCTCTGGGGCTGAGGAAAGGGAGGCACAGGAGATTGAACCATTTGCTAGGGCCACCCTCCCGTCTCCAGGGCTCCTGTTCCGAGGTGGGCCCTCTGCCACCAGCACTCTGCTGGGGTGGAGACCTCGACGGCACTCAGGAGGGACCCAGAGGGTCTTCTGAGCCAGGGTGCACCTCCCTGCTGCTCCTCTGGGGGGAGCCCAGTGCTTTAGTTACCCCAGGGCTCCCAGGGCACCCCACGTGGCTGTCCTGGCCCAGCCGGGCATCGGGCGGCCCAGACCAGGGGCCAGGGTTCAGGGCACAGGATGTAAAGGCCTGACTTGGCGAGGCAGCTGCACACCTGCAAGGTCTGTGTCCCCTTTAGGTGGGGAAAGGGGTGGGCACAGAGGGGACCAGGACGAGGCTGGGGAGGTGGGGCAGAAGGGCAGTGCGTGCTAGGGGAGACGGTGACCCCCACCATTGCCGGGGCTACAGGAAGGGGCATTGGTTCAGCAGGAGGGGACTGGAGCTGGTCAGGGATCAGGTCCTACAGAGAAGTGGGCACAAGAGTGCCTCCTTCGAGGGGTTAAAGCGGGGAGCCAGTGGTGATATCAGGGACCCACCTAGCAGGGCCCTAGACAGGCAGTGTCTACCTCCCCAGGCCGCTGTGATCCTGGGACCCAAGTGACAGTCTCCCCCCAGGGCTCCACAAGTGTTGGGGACGAGGGGGAGCTTCGGGAGGGCTCTGGTTCCTCTGTGTCCCCAGGCTGCCCGAGCAGGGCAGCCTCCATCTGTGAGGGTCAGGCCGCCAGGCCCCTCGCCGAAGGACGCTGGCCGCCCCTCACGCCCCTTAGGAGTGAGCAGGCCCACAGGTCCACGGCGCCGGGCTGCCGTCCAGGCCAGCAAGGAGCCTGACGGCTGTGCCCCCGCCCCGCCAACCCTGGCAGAGCTTCGGAGGCGCCCTGCCCAGCCCATGTGACCAGCGAAGCCCTCGAGGCCCTGGAACGTGGAGGTTCTGAGGCTCCACAGGGCCGCCCGGGAGCCAGTTGCCCGGGTGGGAGGAGAGGAGGCCTTGGGCCCGTGGGGCTGTGCTGGGACCCCAAGCCATGGCAGATGGCAGAGGCAGGCTGGACGGGTGAGCCCACGGGGTCGGGATGGGAGACACCTGACCCCGGGTTCCCGGAGCAGGAGGGCGAGGGTGGGCGGGCGGAGGCGGCAGGGCTCCGGGAGGGAGTGGGGCGCAGGCCTGGGGCCCGTCTGGGTGCGTTCCGAGGTGGCCTGGGTCCTCTGCCACAGCCCTGCCCTCTCTGGTGCTCGGACTCTGCTTCCATCCGAAGGCGGCAGGGTTTGGGCAGCAGAGGGGGCTGCCGGCCCCAGAGAGGCCAGTCCTCCCAGGCCTCAGCCCCGCAGGGAAGCCGTGAAGCAAAGGGCTGGCCCAGAAGCACCCGTGTCTCAGAGGCTGCCTTCTGGGCCGATGCCCCCTGGCCCGGGACCACTCTGCTCGCCGGGCGTCCCCGTGGGAATGGCGAGCTGTAGGCCTGCGGCTGTGTGAGCCGGATGGGGTGGGGCGGTGCCCTGGCTGGTGACACTGGGCTGGGTGCTCAGGTCCCCAGGCTTGGCCTCTGTGCCTTGCCCTGCTGGCCTCGGGGAGTGGGCAGCTGAAGATGCAGATGGCTTGGTGCCCAGCCGCCTTGGGAGCGGAGGGTGGTCAGTCCCAGGGCCGGCTCCTGCTGCTCCACAGGCCTGGCCCACCGCTCTGGAAGGGGCCCAGGCCCTCCTGCTGGCTGGGCACCCTGGACGTGGTGGCACCCCTCTTGTCTCTTGGTCACCGGGGGCGAGGTGCCCCAGCTTCTGGCCAGCCGTTGCTCGCCACCTGTGCCGTCTGCAAGGTCTCCGGACCCCCAGGCGGCCTGCGCCCCCGCGCCCTGGCGGTGGGCAGCGAAGTGAGCTCTGTTTTTGTTTCTCCACACAGGTCCTCACACAATGAACTAGAAAAGCACAGGTAAGCGGTCTCTCCCCTCACCCCCCGTGTGAGCCTCCTGGCTTGTCACACCTGCCCTTCTGCCCAGGGGTGTTGCAGCCAGCCCTCACCCCGTCTCTCTGCCTTTGCCTCCCGGCCTGGCTTAGCACGCTGCCGGGCAGGCCCTTGTCCAGGGAGTGCAGGTGGCTGGGCTCTGCTCCCCGGTTCTGCTAAGCCAGACAGCGGGGCTGGAGCTCCAGGCCCTCCCTGCCCTTGGGAGCTCTGCCTGGGGGTGCAGAAGCAGGGGGTCTGTGTGGAGGGTCAGGGCCAGCTCCCTGGAGGAGGAGCCCATCTGTGTTGGGGTAACTGAACCCTTCTGAGAGCAGCTCCTTTAGCCTTTAAGATGCTGGCCTCCTACCGGGAAGGGTCAGCCCTCTCGACCTGGGGGCCCCAGCCCTGGGGCCCCGACTTCCAAGGAGCTCCGAGCGGTCTTGTCCACAGGCGGTGGGGGGGGCAGCCAGGGCTTGGCCATGTGGGCCTGGTGGGTAGCTCTGCTCCGGGCAGGATCCGGTGGAGGCCTGCGTCATGCCCACCTGCTGGCCACCGAACAGGGCCCTCTCTGGTCCTCCCCTGAGGAGCGTCGGGCCTGCGGTGCGAAGGGCAGCACAGTGGCCCGGAGGGGCTGCTCCCCCAGCCCCGATGCACCCCAGGGCCCTGTGCACTCCTCTGGCCCTCCGCCCCCTGGCTGGCCCCGGCCTGCAGACCGCCCTCTGCAGGGGGAGCAGGCCTGGCCAGGCTCGGCCTCTGGGACAGGTGTTCTTGTGACCGACCCCAGCAGTACTGATGGGGAGCTGTGGGTGCGTCCAGAAACCCCAAGGCCGGGACCAGGGGTGACCCCCCGGGGATGTGAGCGGTAATTTTCTCCTGACCTTGGCTCCCGTCTTCAGATGGGCTGGTTCTTCCCTGCTCTCTTGGCCTGGAGTGGGGTGGGGACCGGGGGTCTGCACGCGAGATGGACGGTCGCAGCTTGCCCTGGAGCTTGGCCGGCTCTGTGTGTCCCCACCCCCACGCCTACACCCACGGCAGCACCAGCTTCCGCCCCCCTGGGATCGGGCCCTCTGCTGGGCGGGTGCTGAGCAGGGACAGGACGCCGTGTTCTCTGGAGGAGCCGCGCTTCCTGGACCGCTCCTGTGCATTTGGGGGGTTCCTGAGAGAGCCAGCCTGGCCCTGGGTTGCTCCCTGGCCAGGGGAGTCGGCCAGCCTCAACCGGGGCCCCGGAGCCTGGACCGGCAGGTGGGGGTGCCCTGGGGAAGGCTCCCTGGGGTGGTACCTGGGGAATGGCCCCCCAGTGCAGACGGGGGTTGGTGGTGATGATGCAGGAGGGCAAGTGTTGAGGACACTGCAGCAGGAGGAGGAGGAGGTGGGGGATGAGGGTTGGCCTTTGACCCCTGCAGCAGCCCTTTGACCCTGGCCTTGGGCTCAGCCTCCTTCTCCCAGAGCCAGTCCTGAGGCTGGGCCTTGGGGGGCCCCTTTTGAGACCGGTGGGGGTGGTGGGCGGCCTGGGATCTCCATGTACCCACCCCCCAGCCCAGCCCAGTGCAGGGGCCTCTGTTCCTGGCCGGCCCAGTGGTCAGCTCTGAGGAGCCCAGGGTCCTGGAGCTGGGGACCCTGTCGGGGACCTCAGCCGTGGCTCGGCCCGTGGCTGCCTGGGGCTGGTGCCGGATGCGCCTGGCTGCTGGCCACAGGAAGGGCCGCCTGCTGTCCTGGGGAAGGCAGGAAGCATCTGGGGGTCTCCTTCCCTGGATGCTGGCTTCTCTGGAGGTGTGCCACCTTGGGCTGCTGGGCTTCCCCTTCCCATGCCTCTGAGCGGGCGGCCCCCTAGCCCACCCAGCCTGCCCTGCTCCTCCTCCGTCCTCCCCGCAGAGACGGCCACTCCAGCCAGTCCTCCCGGGCCAGTGCTCAGCTCCTGACCCTAGTGACGGTGGGCCGCGGCAGCTGTGTTCCTTGGCACCTGCGGCTCAGCTCCACGCTTTTGCTTTTGTAGGGGAGAGGCTGTCCTCAGCACCCCACGGTGGGGCATTCCCTACCACAAAGGCCAGCCCGGGGCCCTCGGTGGAGCCCTGCCCACCTCTGTCTCCCCAGCATAGACGTTATTCGGCTCCTACGTGTGGGTCCCTGCACGGGAGGTGTGCAGGGCAGCTGCCCCATCCGCCTGGTGCAGCCCCTCCAGGCCTTGCCCCCTCACAGCAGTCAGTACAGGGGGACGGGGTGGAAGCGGGCTGCCTCGCCCCCCCGTCTCAGCCGCCAGCGGTCTGTGGGTCACTGTTGGCGTCACCCCTTCCCTGGAGCCAGATCTGGGGCTCTTCAGTGCGCGGCTGCCCTGCCCTTTGGGCCTGGGGCGCCTGGCACGGCAGCTCATCGCTGAGGAGCAGGGCTTCCGGAGACAAGGAGGGCCCGCATTGGGGGCCGGGCTGTAGCCAGTCGCCTGGGCAGGAGCTGCCGTTAGCAATTGTGGGGGTCTGCCCCCCGGTCCACACGGGGCTCCTGCAGGAAGTGGCCAGTGTTCAGAGCTCCCAGGAATGCCGGGTGCAGCCGCGGGGCGCTGGCGGAGGGCCTGGCGCTGTAGCAGCTCCGGAGGAGGGCCGGGCAGAGCCCATTGCCGCCCAGCTCCTTGGCACACTCCTCTGGCTCTGAGAAGTCGGGGGAGGCCTGCGGCCCAGCCGGACCTCCCCGCCGGGGCTGACTGGATAGCTCATCCTGAGCTGAGCGCGGCACGGCTGTCGCCAGCAACTTCTCCTTCTCTCTCGAGAAGCTGCTGCTTTCTGACTTCTAAAGAGCGCTGTTCACGGCCGTGGTGGGCCAGCATGGACCCCCAGTCCCCATGCCCCACCCCAGGGCAGCGTCCTGGGCAGCTGGGCGCGGAGCCTGCCGTTCTCTTCCATGTGGTCCTCAGGGATGGGAGCAGAACCTTGCCACCCGCTATTCCCTAACCTGACTTTTCCCCCAATGCCCGCGTGTGTTCTCTGCCTGAGTCCGTGTGGTCTCTCTGCCGGGTGCCCACGGGGTTCTTCGTGACAGCTCTCCAGGAAGCGCAGACGGTACTGTCGTAGGGTTGGGTCGGGTCTCGTGGGTCTGGAGCTGGAGATGGATTCATGGGGCCAAGATGCTAGACTTGGAGATGCCGGTTGAGGGTTGAGCCCCCTTGGTGGCCCTTCAGAACTGCAGTCCCACCGAGGAGGGTGTGAGTGCCCTCTGGGCAACCCAACAGCCAGTCAAAGCTTTTCTGTTTCAGCCCAAATCAGCATCTCCTGGGTGAGTGCTCCTTCCCCAGGTCGCGGTGAGATGGTGTCGGTTCTGTTAGATTAGCCATCATGTTCTGCAACTTGCCTGTTTGCGTCCTTTGCCTGCTTTCCCATGAAGGTACTCCTCTTTTGTCTTTGATGTGTGCGAGCTGAAAATGTCACGAATACTCACCGTTTGTCTTTTATGTGTATCGCAGATATCTTCCTGCTGTTTGTCTTTTACTTGTGTTTATTCTTCCTTGTACAAATGTGTCTTTTCCTGATTGTAAAAGTAATATGTGGATTTTTAGCATGGAGAACCTGGAAAATAGAAAAGAACGCACAAAGCCAAAGCGATAAATGTTGCCAGCCATGTCACGTGGAGACGCGTGCTTCCTGCTCTTCATTGTGTCCTGTGGCGTCTCTCGTGTGTGTTCACTGCTTTATTTTTTGATTGGTCCTTGGGTCACTGCTCTGTCTGCTGAAACGTCCACTCTGGTCATGGTGTGGAAATGTGGAGTACCCTGAGATGACGAGGTGGTGGAACATGGGGGGTCCTTTTCATTCATTTGTTTTCCTTTTGATTTGCATCTTCTGGTTTTCCACAAAAGATCACGTACTGTGTGTGTACTCAGATGGTGGATTGTGAGCATTGCCATTTGCCTGAGTGGACGGGGAGCCCCACTCGTGAGCTGGCTGGGTGGCAGGTCGGGGTCCCCAGGGGTCTCTGACTGCTCGCGCACAAAGCTATTTACTGGGGCACTGAGGCTGTCGGGCCATGAGCCCACCGCGGGCCCCTCTCACGGCCCTGGTGCCCATGGCCCTGCTCCGGGCGGCCTGGGGTCTGAGCGCAGCCTCAGTCTCGTGTTCTGGACATTCTAAGGTCAAACTCAAGTTCACTTGTAGAATTCTGGGCCACGCTGCCCGGGGCTGGGGTGCCAGCTGGCAAGGGGCTGGTCTGCAGGATGGTGCGGTGTGGACGTGGGTGTCTGGCCCTGGTAGCTGGGTCAGCCCTACCCCCATCGGATGGGGCTGTTATCACAGCAGGGGGGATGGCTCCTGCGCCCTCCGTCTCTGCACTTTGGGGGCCCCCTCTGTCCAAGGGACGTGGCCATCATGGCACGCTTTCCTTCCAGACACTGAGGGAGACTGGCTTTGGAACGAGGGGGATGAAAGGTGGAGCTGCCAGGGTTGGCGCCTGAGGTGGGGGTGTGCGCGCCGGCTCTGGTGATGGCGGGGCAGCGGGGTGGCAGAGCCTGGCCGGGGGTGGGGGTGCCTGCCCTCGTCCCTCCCCTGAGAGTGTCAGCTGCGTGGACAGCTTGGTTTAGAAACCACTTGGGTGGCCTGCATGGGCTCCGGTGGGCACGTAGCCGTAGCAGAGGCCCCTGGCCATCAGCGTGCTTTGAGGGTGAGCCTGGCCGCCCGTCCCCAATGAGCGGAGCTGGGGAAGAAGGGCGCGTCCAGGTCACAGCTCCTCGCCCGAGGCCCCAACCTGAGCAGATGCTGTTGGGTCTTAGGGTTTTGTGGGGAGACTGCGTTCACCTGCGTGGCCACGGGGACAGGATCTAGAGCGAGGCAGTATCTGAAGGGGTCCCAGACGCGGGTGGGGGGCTTGTCTGCGGCCTTCCCTGACTCGGATGGACTCACATTGCCATGGTGACGAGAGTGCCCAGAGAGCACCCTGCGCTTGGCGAGGCGGTGGGTGGAAAGCTCATTGGGGGTGTCTTGGACCTCTGAGCCCCGGGAAGCCTGACCAGCAGCCTTGCTTCTCCTCCTCCCAAGTTGTCCCCCCAAGGCTTCTGGACCCCATTGTGGAGGGAGGGGACAGCGGGGGAGCCAGGGCTCTCGGAGCCTGGCGGCAGCACTTGGAGCCCCAGAAGCTGTGCTGGCCACACAGGCCTAGCCTCACGGCCTGTTGCTCTCCTGGGGCTTCTGGCGGGCTGTGGGGGGCTGGGGGGTGCTGCCAGTCAGGCTGGGAGGGGCGCCTGGGAGCGGCCCTGGGCAGGCAGGTCCGTGCAGGAGTCTGCTGGCCCCATGCCCCCCGAGCCCTCAGTCTGCTCCGCTGACCTGCCCCAGGGGCTGAGCTGCCTCGGCCTGACCGTCGTGTCTTTGGCTCTTTCAGACGAGCCAAACTCCGGCTCTACCTGGAGCAGCTCAAGCAGCTAGTGCCCCTGGGCCCGGACAGCACCCGCCACACCACACTGAGCCTCCTGAAGCGTGCCAAGATGCACATCAAGGTGAGCAGGGTGCCCCATTGTGGCCCCACCGCCCTGGGGAGGGACCCCGGGGCCCGAGGACGGGCTGTGGGCCGCCCAGCAGGGGCTCCGCGGGGGCCCGCGGTCTCTGGTGGGTGAGTGACTCGGCCGCAGCGGGGGCAGGTTGGGTTCTGTGGGCCGTTGGGAGGGGGGGTGGGCTGTAGATCACCCCCCAAGGCCCTGGTGTTGGGGAGGCTCTGGGCGGGCATAGGGGTTGGTCTCCAGGAGCCAGCAGTGGGGTGTGGGCTGAGTGAGACGTTGCCAGGGGCTGGCTCTCGAGGCCTTAGGACTGAGGGGTGGGTTTGGGGACCCACCAGGGTGGGTTCAGTCCTCCCGCAGGGCCCCCTGATGGCGTGGGTGTGGGCCCACCCGGGCAGGGTCCCGACGGGACTCAGCTGGGGCCCTGGGGCCCTCATGGAGAGGCCGCGGCTCCGTGCCCTGGGAGACGTGCAGAGGGCGGGCAGGGAGGCGGCCGCCGGATTGTGCAGGCAGGGTGTCGTCTGAGTTGGAGTGCCAGGCCGGGGCTGGGTGGCGTTGTCCAGGCTCTAGGCCCACTCATGACTTGGTTTGGTCAAGCTGGCTGGTGGCCGTGTGCCTTCTGGGGGCGGTCAGCAGACGCAGAGCACAGGGCAGGGGGAGAGCGGAGAGGAGGGGTGCGTCAGGCCTTTGGGTCCCGCCCAGTCTGGGGGCCCTGGGGTTCTGGTGTGTGTGTGGGGGGCACACCCCCCTGGACTCATAAAGCCCACCCCACCCCCCAGAAACTGGAGGCAGTCAGCAGAGGCAGAGCACAGGGCTGGGGGGCGGGGGTGGGGTGCACCCGCTACCTCCACCACCCCCCACAGCTCACAGTTCCACCCCCTACCCCCCCACCAGAAACTGGAGGAGCAGGACCGGCGGGCGCTGAGCATCAAGGAACAGCTGCAGCGGGAGCATCGCTTCCTGAAGCGGCGCCTGGAGCAGTTGTCGGCACAGAGCCTGGAGCGTGTGCGCACTGACAGCACGGGCTCCGCAGTCTCCACCGATGACTCGGAGCAAGGTGGGCCTTGGGCCTGGGGGCTGGCCTGCTGGGAGCCGCGGGGTGGGGGCAGCGCTTGCTCAAGTGTGGCCCCAGGGACGGGATGAGGAAGCTAGGCCGGGTGCCCTGAGGGCCAGGGGCAGTGGGGGGCCCTTCGGGGGCCCGGCGCTGACCTGCCCCCTCTGTTCTCCACAGAAGTGGACGTCGAGGGCATGGAGTTTGGCCCCGGCGAGCTGGACAGTGTGGGCAGTAGCAGTGACGTGGACGACCACTACAGCCTGCGGGGCAGCGGCTGCAGCCACGGCAGCTTCGGGCCCACGTGCAGGCGGCCTGGCCGTCCCGGCCTCTCGTAGGCGCTGCCCTCTCCGCTCCTCGGCCCGCCCGTCCGCCCGCCCGGCCGAGCGTGTCGACCCTCCGGTCCTTGAAGCCTCTCCACGGGCCCACTGCTGTGCCATTCTGGAAGCTCCGCCGCCGCCCGGGCTGCCCGCCTGCCGGTCAGGGCCCACCGCGCCGCCCACTCCTCCCACCCGGGCAGGGACCCCTTCGGGAGGCGGGGCCCAGCTCCCACATTTGGGAGCCCAGCATAGCCGCGCACCGCGTGTTCTCAGATACCCAGTCATTCCAGAAGTATTAAATGTCATTGCTGCAAACCTCGGCGGGCGCCGTGTGAGGGGTTAATGACCGCCACGGGGAGCTCAGACCCTAACCCCGGATCCCAGCAGAAAGGAGTGGACCAAGGAAGGAAGGCGTGGCTCTCCGTCCGTCCGTCCATCTGCCTGTTGGTCCACGTAGGCTCCTGAGGCGTGGACGGAGGGATCCGTGAAGGGCGGGACTCGGGTGAGCACCCTGGGACCGGTGGGTGGACGGCAGCCTTTGCACCTGCAGGCGTCAGGAGCCAGGGCTGGGCTTCCGGGGGGGTGCTGCCAGGCTACCCCAGCCTGACTTGGGCGGCTTCTGCTCTGTTCTTAGGTCCCTCAGATGTGCACACGCACGCACCTAGGCGCACACGCCTGCTCGCACACACATGCACACATGCAGACAAGTGGTCACTGGACCCAGAGGGCACACGTCCCGGGGCCTTCAGGGGTCAGTTGGGCACATGCCGGCCCCTGGCCTGTGCCTGGTCCCCCCTCCCACCCCCAGCCCACCTGCCCAGACTGCACAGGGCAGGCGTCCCTCCCAGCGGGGGCTGGGGGTTGAAACCATGGGGTCCTCAGAGGCTCTCTCACCTCCCTGTAAAACAACACCAAGCAAAAAGTTGCTGCATCCCAGCAGTCCAGAACAGGGCTCCCGGGAGAGCAGCTTTCCCCCCAAAAGAAAGGAGAAACATTTTTAAAGAGAAAGCGCTCTGCCGACTCGGACTCTTCCGCTGTCGCTGTGTGCCGCCTATTTCCTGTACGAGATTTTTTCTACTCTATTTTCCTAGCCGTTTTCGCGTCCTTGTTTGCTGAGGGGTGGGAGCGACCCAGCGTCTCAGGGACTCGTCTGTCACTCGTCTGTCAGCGTCGTCCGCGTGTGCCTTGTGTCCCGTGTCTGGCCCCACCCCGACCGCCACCACCAGCATCTCCCGCGTGGCTCACGGGACGCCCCCAGGTGCCCTCCTGGCCCTCTCCCCACAGCCAAGCCCCCTGGGAGCGAGTCGGCCTGGCCAGGTCGGCCCGGGGGGCTGTGCGGCGGCAGGGTTCTGCTCAGTCCCCCGGTGGGAGGGGCCGTGACCTGTGGTCCTCCTGACCCTCCCCCCCCCCCACCGCTGCACAGTCTGACCCCCTGGGGGGCGGGGCGCTAACCCGAAAAGTAGGTTCCTTCCTGCACTCAGCTTGAAGCCTCCCTTCTCCCCGCCCTGAGCAAGGACTCCGGATGTCAGACACTGGCAGCTTCTGAAGACAAACGTTCACCCTGGGTGGACAGGCCTGGGCATTAGGAGCCTTCTCCTGGCCTTTTGTCCCCAAGGCATCATCCCTGGGGACCACACAGCAATATTTTGGTGGGGAGCTGTGGGCCAACTCACAGTAGCGTCTGCCCCTATTGTCTGGTGCGTTGTAGCCAATTTCCAGATTGCGACGGGGAAGGGGTGGGGAACTTGCGTCTACCTTCGGTCACGCCAATGGACGCCCCAGGGGGGTGGCTTGCTGAGGCACAAAGGGGTCCCAGGAGATGACTCTGGCGCAGAACCTGCCCTCCAGGGGCCTGGGAGGGCGGTGGGGAGCAGGCTCGAGGTGGGGACGGTGCAGGTGGCTGGGGAGACTGCTGCATGTTGTGGCGGCTGCAAGGCAAACTGTGCTATTGGTACCTCCTTCCAGCTCCTCTGGGGCCCAGCATGGCCAGAGGGGCTTCTCCCATCTGCCTGAGCTCGTTCACTGCATGTTCCTTGCAGGGACCCCATAGCCTCAGAGCAGGGCAGGATCACCCACAGTTAAGAGCCTTCCTTAGGACATGCAACTGCAGGCCCCTGGGGAGCTCTGTGTTCGGAATTCTAGAGCATCAATTCTCCAGCCACCCCCATCCTCACCCCCAACCCCCAGGAGAGGTTCTCCTCTGGCCTGCAGAGTCCTCCCCAGCTGACCTTCCTGGCTGGGAGATGCTCAGCCTGTGACTTTGCAGGCCATGGTTCCCCTGTGGACTGGGGGGGCGGGCAGGTTGGTCTCACTAGCCACCCAGGGATGCTGGGGCCCCAAATTTCTCTCCTCACCACCGGCAGTGAGGTCTGTACTGGAGCTGCTCACGTGCCCACCCCCTCCCCCAGCCACCTGCACTGGTGGCCAGGGGGACCAGAGGGTCGTTAAGAGCAAACCTGAGTGTCATGGGGTCTGTAGAAAGCAACCAGGACCAGAACAGGGCCCCGGCGGCGGGGGGGACCTGCACCATCCCTCATGTGCCCTCACGCCCACGTGGCTCTTGGTGGCCGAGATCCTGGAAGCCCGCGCTTGGGTTTGGGCCCATACCCTCACAGTGTGCGGCAGCCCCCAGGCCTCAGCACAGGCCCCGCTGGCTGGGGAGGCCAGAGGAAGGCACCCCGCTCCGTGCTGCCCTGGCCCTCCCCACGCAGGGCGGGCCTCCGAAGCACGGCGCCCGAGCCCGCTTTCCTGGTGGTGGGGCCGTGCGCCTGGCCACGGTCCTGAAGGCCCCCACCTCCGGTGGGGCTCCGGGTGACCCCATGTGCTGGGTGAGGCAGGTTTCCCCCACGCTCCCACCCCCGTTTCTCGCAGGGCCAGCTCACCCGGGCCATCCCCACCGTGTGCACGCAGGACTCTGACCCCACACCTCTCCAGCCATGTCTTGGACACAGGGCAGGTTCCGCACCAGAGTCGGGGGTTGGGGGGTGCTGCCCAGGGGGCCTGGTGCTGGCCGGGTGGGCATGTAACAAGATCCTCGCTGGAAAGAGAGGGCCACCCCCCCAGCCTGTTCACCGGGAGGGACTGTGCTGTACCGTTCTGTCTTTGTAATATAAATACAGATTTTTATACCTCACTTCTCTGTCTTCCCGTTCTTTCCATCCCTGTGTTGGGCTTCCCTCCCCTCAGTCCACTGGGCAGCCTCGGTGGTCCTCACCACTGTATTGGGAGCCTTGGCTTTCTGGGAGACCCTGCAGACCCCGGCCCTCCCCTTCCTAGGAGCCGGCTGCCGGCACCCCAGTATCAGAGCTGCCTGCCTGGACTTCCCCTGGAGATGAAGGTGGGGTCGAGGTGGAAGCCATCCCCCTGCCATCCTGGGTCTCTTTGCCAGGCGGGAGGTCTTGCTGCCAGCCTGACTTGGCCCCTGGGGCTGGGTCACTACCCTGAGGACAGCGGGGCCCTCAGGGTGTCCTGGGCGGGCCCGCTGAGCTTTGCCGGAGCCTCAGCCGCCTCCGTGTCAAGCGCCCCTCATGCACGGTGGCCACTGGCTCTCAGGGAGGCCCTGGGAGAAGCCCTGGAACCCGGCCTCGGTGTCCCTGGAACGCCCTGCTGTGCAGGTGGGGGTGTGAGGCTAGCGAGGCAGCTCCCTGAGGTCTGTGGGCAGGTGGGGGGTGCCTGCGGGAGAATCTGGAGGGACCCCTGGGGACTCTTGAGTTCCTCCTCCGTTCCCCCCACTCCCTCCTCCCCCCAGGCAGAAAGCAGTACTCCAGCCTCTTGTACTGGGTGAGTCCCTGGGGCACCTCTAGGCGAGAAGAGAACCCTGCCAGGAACACAGCTGGGGCCTTGTGCCACCAGCACTTGGGCTTGAATGTTAATGCGGTGCGGGTATCTGAACTCCAAATATTACTATGAGTTTAAATCACCACTTTTTTTTTTTAATTCTTAATTTTTTTGGCTGAGCCACACAGCATGTGGCATCTTAGTTCCCCGACTAAAGAATGAACCTTCACCCCCGGCGTGGGAAGTGTGGTCCTAACCACAGGACCACTGGGAAAGCCTTCCACCTTTTACTGAGGGCATGAACACTCAGGGGATTAGCACCAAGGTCCTCCCCCGGCCTGTCTCACAGACAGGAAGCCGGGTCTCAGGCAGGGCGCCTGCCTTCCTCAGGTGGTGCCCTGTGACCCGACCCTAGCCCTCTGGGAAGCCTCCACCACTGCATGCCTTGAGCCCACTCCAGGCCCGGTTTACAGTCAGCCCCCCACACCCCCCACCCAGGCGGGCCACCTGCCCATGCTCTCCTCGGTGGCCAGAACAGCCTCAGGTGGTCTTGCTGCCCCCATCACCTACAGAATTAAACCCAGCTGCCTGCCCTCTCCCCATCCACCCCTGTGCCTTGGGCTCAACCTGAGCCCACCCCGGCCCTGCTCCGTCCCTCCGCGCTCCCCTGTTCACAGCTTGCTCATGACGACTCTGGAAAGTCGGTTTTCCTGTCATGTTTTTATGGCTGCAATTTGGCTGCCCAGATTGGTGCTTGTCTAACCTGGTTACTCAGGCTGGTCACTTCTCCCCTTTCCCAGCTCCTCGCCAGGCCAGGCCTGCGGGCCACACCAGCCCTGGCGGGACCTCTGCAGAATGTCAGTGGGGCTATGCCTCTTGCCCATGTAGTCCACAGGGGCTCTCACCCGCTCCTTCCTCGTTGCCACCTGCCTCCTCAGCCTGTCCTGCTCTTTACCGGACCCCAACCCCCACCCCAGGCCCCTGGTGCCCCACCCCCACCTCCACCAGCTCCTGCCCGGGGTCATCTTGGTTAGTGCCTCACCCCCACCCACTGAGGAGTTTGAGGACTGAGTTTCCCCCTTTGTCACGTGATTGTCAGAGTGGTGGAGGACAAGCTGGTTCTCCTCCCACCCGCCCCAGCCCCACAGTGTAGGGCACACAGATGGTGTTCTGGCCGACAGAGCAGCCGGATGTGGACACTCATCCAGACCCACGCGCTCTGGCTGCCAGGCTCTCTCTCCGCATGGGACATCCCCTGCCTCTGTCTCTTGCCACCTGTGTCACTTTTGTGACTGCAGGACGGAGCTTCTCACACTGCATGTCACTTCCCACTCGGAGGGTGGAGTCCCGCCACCATCACCGAAAACTACATCTGAGAAGAGACGACCTTCAACATCAGACTGCAGTCTGACGCCTCTGAGTTGTTCGAAACCTAAAACACATTTTAATATCAACAGGAGAAAAAAAGATTTTCATGGAAGGAAGGAAACAACAAACACAGCTGTGTTTTGGTCTGTTTAGTCCAGCCGGGTCTCAGACTTTCTCAGGGAAGAGTCATTCCCGGTTCCCTTCACCTTCTGACCCCCTGTGCTGTGTGCTTAAGTCACTCAGTCGTGTCTGACTCTCTGCCACCCCACAGACTGTATGTAGCCCACCAGGCTCTGCTGTCCACGGTGATTCTCCAGGCAAGAATACTGGAGTGGGTTGACATGCCCTCCTCTTTGACTCCCTGCTGCTGTTGCTGCTAAGTCACTTCAGTCGTGTCCGACTCCGTGTGACCCCACAGATGTCAGCCCATCAGGCTCCCCTGTCCCTGGGATTCTCCAGGCAAGAACACAGGAGTGGGTTGCCATTTCCTTCTCCACCTTGACTCCCTAAGTCCCCCTTAAAACCCCAAATGTTTTGATTGGAGGAAAGAAAGCTTGTCCTGGAAGTAAGTGTAACACTTGCTTTGGTAAGTTCCAAATGCAACCTCAAGTACAGAAATGCCCTAATAAGTTTCCAAGGAAAACTCTTGAGTCTGAGTAGCTAAACCTATAGTATTTTCATTTGTACTCAGTGGGCTAATACCATTGTGATTTTTACTTTATATTTTAATGTTTTTTGGCACCAGGAACATCTTTCAAGCAAATGACTAAGGTCAGCAGTTCGAAGTCATGTGGGGGATCCGTGGACCCAGGGAATGACTCAGGAGTCACTCAGAAAAGTGAGGTTCTAGTTCAGATCAGCGAGCTGGGGTCTCACCCTCCAGTTTCCCAGGGATCTTTCTACAGAGCAGCCCTTTTCTTTCTGCGTCTTTGCTTCCCTCTCCTCTTGAGTTCCTCCTCCCAGTCTATAAATATCCCCAAGTTCCTCCCATTTTAAAACCCAAACCCTCCCCCAGCGTTGCATCCCCACCCCCCTCGTCTCCAGTTCTGCTGCTTTCTCTCGCTCTCCCTCAATCTCTGCCTCTTCAGCAGAATTTCTTGAAGGCGCTGCCTCAAAAGCCTCCACTTCCTCCGGGTGAGGTGGCCCAACGCCTCTCCCCCCCCCCATCCCCACGGCTGGGTGGGGTCTTCCCGGTCTCCCCCCGCCGGTGGGGGGTGTGTGTGTCTAACCCCGCCTCCCAGTTTGTCAACCGGACCCTCTCTTGCCGGGTTCAGGCCCCTGCATTCAGGCCGGGCACCGCTCTGCGAGTTTTTTTCTCCTGTAATGCTTTTCCCAACCATTTTGGGCTCTATTGTCTTTTTAGAAGAGGAGGATCAAAAAGTAGAACAAACGAAGAATTAATAAGTAGGTTCAAGTCCAGATTAAAATTCATGGCATCTGCCCTGGAACATTATTCCTTCTCTTCTTAAACAATATTAAGAAAAGTTATCTGAAGAGATTTCTGCCCTGCCAATGTCACATTAGACTAGGACGTTATCGAACAAGCCACCTTAGGGCCATTTGATGCTGGGGGTTGCGGAGTACTGATGGCTTATTAATGACCAGGGCCCCAGCCTTGCTCATTGATATGTTCATTTGCAGAAGATTGGTACGTAAAACAAAATTATTTGTGTCTGGTAGAGATGCAAACACATTCTGTCCGATACAAGTGGTAACCTCAAAGTTTTGCTTCACTGGACTGTGTGGTGTCCACCAGATTTCCTCCAACGTGGAGGTCTCATTTGAACCCTGCTCCTCTCGCCGACCACACACCCTCCGTTTCTGGCATCCTGCTTTAAAACCCGTGCTCCATCTTGACACAAATCCACTCGACGAGTCAAGCAGTTTCGACTTTTTAAATAGTCCTATGTTGAAGATGGGATTGTCCGGTGAAGAGAAGGCTTGGGAACGAAGTGCTTCTGGAAAACGGCGTTCGTCACAAGAGACTGAGAGGCGAGAAGTCTGCTCGGCGACTTCGTCCACGCTCACTCCTGCGGCAGCGGACCGCAGCGCGGCCCCGGGGCCCGCGGAGGACCGGACGCCCGGGCCACCAGGCAGGCGGGCGACAGGGCGGAGCTGGCTCTACTACGCGCTCCCGACCTGACAAGGCTGCGACGGAACACAGACTCCTCAGAGGAGGCGGACGGAGGTCTGCGTGCACTGGCGTTCCGCTGGAAGACCGCTTGAGGCAGGGAGCCAATCAGCTCTCTCCCTGCTGGTAGACGTCAGGCCCGGGGCCCCGCCTCTTCTGATATTGCGCCTGCGCAGGCGGTCGCCCTCGGCCGGGTCTCGGTCTTTTGCGCGCGCGCGCGCGGGAGCGGCCCTCCCGTGAGGCCTTGCAAGGCTGGGCAGCGGCGGCGGCGGTGGGCTTCTGAGGGGCGCGAGCCGAGCCTCCTGAGGTGAGCGGCGCTGGACTCGCAGGTCTCTCAGGCGGACGGTGGGACGGTGGGAGCGGCGCGGGTCAGCGGCTGCGTCTTCTTTCCGGATGCCCCTGGGATCGTCTTTCGGGCGCGCTAGTAGTTTCCCGCGTAGCGCAGTCGCGGTCCTCAGGGGGAGGGGACGGGGGGAGTGACTGGAGAGTCTGGGGACTCCAGTGCTGTCGGGGGGCGGCCGGAGGGACGAGGGGCGCAGCGGCGGGAGACTGAGGGCTCCAATGCGGGCGAGGGGGGCGGCGGGAGGGGTCGGGGCTCGGTGCCGGGAGAGGCGAAGGGGCGCAGCGTAAGACTGGGGACTCCAGTGCCGGCGGGGAGCCAGGCTCTAGTGGGGTCATCGAGGCGAGGGGCACGGCCGGAAACGGCGTCTCCAGTGAGGGTGGGCTGTGGCGGGGGGGCGCGGCTCCCGGGGCCCCAGGCCGCTGGGCCCTGGAGGCTCTGCTGGGACGCGAGGGGCGCACTCTAGCCCCGCCCGCCAGCCGGCACCCACTTAAGTCAGTTCAGTTTAGTCACTCAGTCGTGTCCGACTCTCTGCGACCCCATGGACTGCAGCTCGCCAGGCCTCCCTGTCCATCACCATCTCCTGAAGCTTGCTCAGACTCACGCCCATCGAGTCAGTGATGCCATCCAGCCACCTCATCCTCTGTCTCCCCTTCTCTTGCCCTCAGTCTTTCCCAGCATCAGGGTCTTTTCCAGTGAGTCAGCTCTTCGCATCAGGTGGCCAAGGTGTTGGAGTTTCAGCTTCAGCATCAGTCCTCCAGTGACTCTTCAGCACTGACTTCCTTTAGGAATTGACCCGCTTAAGGTCTGTGCAGTTTGTCGTCGCGCCGACTGGGCCGCCTCTGTGGACGAATGTTGTGTTGACGCGCACCGATCGTTCATCGCTGAATGACACAGAATCACAGAGTACCGCAGATGACTGGGTCTCTCCTCTGAACCTCTTGTTCCCTTCGCTGGAGTTCGCAGCGTGGATTTTTCAGTGGTCCCTTTGCTGAAAATAAGAAACGCCTGAAATACCTTTATTTAAGGACTGCTCAGTCCTTTGGTTCTTTTCAGGTCGGGGGTGGTTCTTAAGCCTGGTTTTCTCTGCACTAGGTTGGTCGTGTCTGACTTTGCTTCCTTCGTGAATGCGGCTGCTGACTGAGTCATTCAGGTAAATATTCAGTTGACTCTTCCTCAGACTCTGACCATATTTATTTCTGTCTTCTCGGAAAGGACAGGGAAAAGAGATTGCTTAGTCACGTGATGGCGTGGACATATTTAGATCCATCTATTTGGAATTAAAAACTGAATTGCTGATGTATAAAATGTACCTTAAACCATGTTACCTTTGGAAAAAATAAGATTTTCTTGTTAATTAGCCTCTCATGACAGTTTCAGTGTTCTGAGTAATACTCTAATTATTTCTCTTTGTCAAACTTTTCAGCTACAACTATCTCTGGGTTAGATAGTTCCCAAATATCTTGTGATATTTATCTGTATAATACTTTAAAAGATAGAATCGCCTTATTTGTGGTCTAATACTTGGTTTTTTTTTCCCCTCTAGGATAAATTATTATAGATTCTAAAAATATTTTTCCCCCCTTCTCTATGGATTTAACATAAAATTAGTTTTGTATGTAGTTGGACTTATTTTTTAAATATCAACACCATTAAAGCCTTATCAGTTACAAAATATCGGGTAGTTAAACCATGAGCTGTGGAAAAGATTTTGTGGAAACATTAAAAAAAATTGGTTATCCCAAAGCTGATAGTCTTAATGGGGAAGATTTTGACTGGTTGTTTGTTGAAAATGAACCGTTTTTGAAGTGGTTTTGTGAGAATGTGAATGAACAGAATGTATTGTCTGAAGAGGAATTGGAAGCTTTTAGCATTCTTCAAAAATCAGGCAAGCCCATCCTAGAAGGAGCAGCATTGGATGAAGTTCTTAAAACTTGTAAAACTTCTGATTTGAAGACACCCACCTTGAATGACAAGGAGCTAGAGAAATTAGAGGATGAGGTTCAAACTCTGCAGAAATTAAAGAACCTAAAAATTCAGCGACGTAATAAATGCCAATTGATGGCTTCAGTGACTAGTCATAAATCTCTGAGGTTAAAGGCTAAAGAAGAAGAAACCAATAAAAAGCTGAAACAGAGTCAAGGAATTCTAAATGCTACAAATACCAAGATCAGTAATGAACTTCACACTCTTACTGATGGAGTTGCAAAGTTAATGACGTTCTTCAGACGATCTAATTTGGGTCAAGGAACAAATCCACTGGTGTTTTTATCTCAGTTTTCACTGCAAAACTATCTAAGCCAAGAAGAGCAAAGTACGGCAGCATTAACCTCATATACCAAAAAACAGTTCTTTCAGGGTATACATGAAGTAGTCGAAAGTTCAAATGAAGAAAATTTTCAACTTTTAGATATGCAGGCACCATCTGTTTGTGATAATCAAGAAGTTCTTGAGGCAAGCCGGCTAGAAATGGCTAGGCTGCAGCTGGCATACATTTGTGCTCAACATCAGTTAATTCACTTGAAAGCAAATAATTTGAGCCTGAAGTCAAGTATAAAGTGGGCAGAGGAGAATCTTCATAGCCTCATTAGCAAGGTAAGTGTGAGAAAAGAGACTGGATTTATATTTAAGTTGTTGTTAATTATGAAATAATATTGGGAGATCCCCTGGAGAAGGGAATGGCAACCCACTCCAGTATTCTTGCCTGGAGAATTCCATAAGAGAAACTGGTGGGCTATAGTCTATGGGGTTGCAAAGAGTCGGACAGGACTGAGCGACTAACACACGCTGATAGTAAAGTATTTTAGAAAGGGGGATGTAATAAGTAATTACATTTTCTTTTTCTTATTTTCTGTTCAGTGTTTAGTTATGGTATGTGTTATTGTTCCACATAAATAGATCTTAGTGGAGGGCAGAAATAGTAGTTATAACCCAACCACCTTATCTAACTCACTTTCAAAGGACTTTTGCATTCTTTGTTGGTTCATACACAGATAAGGCTGACATTGCCTTTTTTATGATGAATGAGTAAAGAGCCTTATTGCTGTTATGGATAGTCTGCCTTATTTGCTCTGACCAGAGGATGGTGCTAACGAAATTAGAAATCCAGTTCAGTGGATTGAAACTCTTATTTTTTTTAAAGAATGTACAGATGTATTAAAGATATCTACCTGCACCCTTGGATAGCTTGCTTTCCTGGTCATGTAACCAGTAGATAGTTGAGTAAAAAGAACAGTTTTTCTGAAGCTAAATACCTATAATTGTCACAAACTTCAGAATGTTGTATGAAGTCCTGTCATTGTATAGAAGTGCTAAAGTCAACAAGCAAGGTGGGAGAAGAGCTACTGAGATTATTTCAAGAAAAGCATAAATAGCATATATTAGCATTTGGTAAGCAGTGTCATAATGGGTGATTTTTTTTAAAGACAAATCTGACAAGATCTCTGTTTTGGTAGCCATTTATGTGTATAGTATTTTAACATAGTAGTAATAGCATTAAAATTTAGCAATTCATAATGGCTTTACCCTTGGTTTCATCTTCACTGTGCCATTTTAAACCGTGATTTTGGCTTTTGTTAATTCGAAACCAGTTTCTATTAGTGTGTTATCTGATAAACTAAGATGGAAAGTGAAAATAATTTTAAAACTATTCCTACTTTGTATTTACAGTTTGAAATGTAATTGTTTTGTTTGTGTAGGCTCTTGGCAAGGATAATTTGGATGCTAAAATTTCTAGCTTGAACAGTGAAATTCTGAAACTTGAAGAACAAATCACTCATATAAAAGACAAAATTTTGCCTGCTGTGGTAAAAGAGAATGCCCAGTTATTGAATATGCCAGTTGTAAAGGGAGATTTTGATCGACAGATTGCTAAACAAGACTATTACACAGCAAGACAAGAGTTCGTTTTAAATCAGCTGATAAAGCAAAAGGCATCATTTGATCTTCTTCATTTATCATATGAAATTGAATTGAGAAAGCATTGGGACATATATCGTCAGCTGGAAAACTTGGTTCACCTGCTTAATCAAAGTAATTTGATGTTCCACCAGCGATTAGAAATGCTAACAGACCCGTCAGTATCTCAGCAGATAAATCCCAGGAATACCATTGATTCCAAGGATTCTTCTACTCATAGGTAGGTTTCTTTGTTTCTTTAGTGAGTAATTATTTTTCTGTTTGTTTTTGTAAAGTACTAGAATTTGAACTAAAGTTTGTGAAAGTTTAAAAGTTCTTTGCACTTCATTTTTGGCTTTTGGATTCTTCCGCCTTTCTGTTACATGGGTCTATGTTTCTTTTAGTTTTTTTTTTTTTCCAATTCCTCAGTTAATTTTATTTTTTTAAAATTTTAAAAAATTGAGGGCTAACCTTTTCCTTTTATGTTAGATCTAGAAGTAGCTGGTTTAGAGGTGAGGTGGATGGTTTGGAGAATTGAAAATATACAATACAAGACCTTTATTCATGTTTGGATGCTATTATTTAGATGCTTTTAGATTTGGGGCAGGAGGCTAACTCCAGCAGGAAGTTTGAATACAGCTTGGTGTATAACAAGTATTGCTGAGCAGAGAATTGATTACATTTGGGGAAGGCGGCGGTAGGAGAGAAGACTTCATTTTTGCATCTAGTCAGGTGAATCTGTAAGAATAACTGCTAGCTTCTGGTCTCTTCTGGA